ATATATATATTTATTTTTTTTTTAAGATTTTTACCAGAGAATGTTTTACTTGAATATCGTTTTGTCATACACTCTAAAATGTTACTAAATCTTTTTTTATTTTCATAAATGTCCCACTTCTTAGATTATAGATGAAACTGTTTTTTGTTTTTGTTTTTTGTCTTGTTTTACCCACTGCTACATAACTGAAACCATGGGGTGTGGTTACCATGGTGACTGCAATGACGTCGATTGTAAATCAATGTTACTGAAAAGCTTTGCTTCAGAAGTGTTACTGTCTGTGTCCTGCAGGGTATCATGTACAGGATCAACAGGAAGGCTGGTACATGTGTACAGAAGCACCTGAGTGAAGGCTTCCACCCTTTGGCGGTTCCAAAGGACGCCACCTTAGTGGGTCAGTATGTTCTGGGCAGCTCTTCAGTTCCAGGTGAGGGAGTCCTGGTCAACACTTGGGCTGGGAAGCTGCAGATGAGAAAAGGAACAGGTATATCAGAAAAACAACAACACACCGTCATGTGCACATGAGCAGCGTGACTTTGACTCCACTTGCTTGTCCTGTTTGTCCGGTTGTGGGTTTCAACATGTGATCTGTTTGTGTTTCTGCAGCAGAGTACATGACCACTGTGACAGAGTTTGGGTGTCTTCCTGTCAGCACCATGTTCTGCAAGAACAACGAAAGATGGGTGGTGGTCAGGTTGGTGTCCAGAAATGTATATCACCCTCCACCTTTGATGTCACAGTTTTAAAATGAGATGGTTTTATGATGAAAAATGAGTTAATAGAATCATTGCTCATTGTATTATGTGCAATCTCACATAGTACAGCAAAATGTGTTAGCTCTCAAAGTATTTGCTGAGGATGACTCTTAGCAACTATCAAATCAAAGTTTAGCTCAACAGCTTAAACTTTGACTAAGTTATAGCCACTTGTGCGTTTGATTAAGTTGATTAGCTGTGGCAGCCATCTTGAAGTGAGCTGACTTCAAACGTTAATCAGTTGAAGATGTACATCTAGTGTTTACTTACTGAAAGTTTTGTTAAACTCTTTTATATGGTTTAATAGTTATTTTGCTAACAGACAAACCCAGCTGACATCAAGAGTCAGTGTAAAAGTTTTATATAAAGATCTGACGCATTGTGTTGTGCTTGGATTATTTGTTGGGGCTAATGCTCAGCTACTACCACACAAAATTTTAGCTCAATATATGTAAAAATTACAGAGTTCAATCATCTTTGTATTACTCATGTCAGTTAGCTGTGGTGGCCATCGTTAATTTTTGCTAACCCCACAAGGTGAAGCATTTTAGATGTATAGTTTACTGAGAGCTTTGTTTAAACACACACACGCACACACACACACATATAAATCAATTAATTCACTTAGAGAGATAATAATAAAAATATTACCGTATGTAGAAAATATTACAGTAAAGATTTACTTGTTTCTGCTTGTTGTGTGTATTTCAAGTAATTCAATGTATTGTAATCAGTTTTAATCAGCAGGATGAGTGCCAATTGATTTAAAATCTAAATTATACAAGAGAAGTCCTGCCTGAACTTTGACTCAAACAAATCTATCAGATTCCAGTGTCGGCGAGTCAAACTAACCGGCAGTGAATGTTTTTCTTTTCAGCTTCTTCGACAACGTTGCTGGAATGGCAGACCCCCAGGATTTCATTCCCCCACCGTTCTGTAATGATGACCGGCTGGAGGAAGAGGAGGAAGAGAATCTTACAGCCTTCATCAGCTTGTTTTGAATCACAAGACTCGTCAGAGTCATGAGGCAACGTGATAATGATGATGATGCATTTTTCGCTCTAATAAACTTCCTTCTTAGTAGTTGTGTTTGATGAAAGAGCATTTCTGAACACTATCGTTTACAGATATCTGATCCAGTTGACCTGAATGAATTATGTTTTTTTAAATAATTGTTAGAAACAAATATTATTTAAACAAGTTGCATGCCATTTCACTCATAATTAAGCTTTATAAAATATACAGCCAAGGAGATGAAGGTAAACCGTTAAAGTTTGAAAAGAGATTTGGTTTAGCTTCATTTTCATTGTAGTAACAGTTTTGGCAAATTCACATGAGCCCCAAAATTACTCTCAGTTTTATTGACATGATTTGATGAGCTAAGCAAATTAATTTCAAATGTTTGAAGGAAACTGCTCGGAAAAGTGCTTTAGCTCATGTGAAGAAGTCAAAACTGTTCAATTGTTTCAACCCTGTGAGTGTGACAACGGGTTAAATTAATAGAAACATCAATAAAAAACAAGTGTTAGTTGATTTCAACGATTCAATCAAATATCTGCCCTGTTTGGACAGTCAGGGGAAAAATCAGCAGACTTTATTAATGATCACATTTAAGTTTTTAAATGAAAAAGAAAGCATTTTTGAACACTTTATTAGATTTATGAGTGAAAGACAACTAAAGAAAAGGCTAAATTTTCTACTGGTCCACAGGGCCAGTACTATTCAAGTCAATTCAGTTTATTTATCAGAATCAACTTTATTGTCATCGCACAGAAGCACAACGAAATTACATTTCAGTACAGTCGTCCAAAGAAAACAAACATGGGTAGACAGAAAGTTTGTTTTCTCAGTCATCCAGGTATATAACAACAAAAAAGGTTTAATCATGTCATCTGGACTTCATTTTTTTGTTAAAAAGAAACGTTTCGCCCCTCATCCAAGAGGCTTCGTCAGTCTGAGGCCTAGCCATCTGGTATTACCCAGAAGCCACCCTAACTCTTGTGTTTCAAGCCTGCCTCAGATACCCCTGAAGTCTGGCCTTTTCACTAATGGTTTCAAAAACACAAAGTTTGTTTTCTCAGTCATCCAGGTATATAACAACAAAAAAGGCAGGTTAGACAGGTTTTCTTGAGGCTGCAGCCTCGTGGGAAGCGCTGCCCTTTTCTTTTAGATAAGGAAAAGGGAAAAACATGAGAAAAGAAAAGGTTAAAAAAAAATCATATCTCACACTGTGTCCTTGACGAGACACAGTGTGAGGTTGCAAAAGAAACTTCAGCACAAGCAAAAGCAACATACTGGTCACATAAAGACATATGCATGTGGAGTGGGTGAGGGTGGGGGTCCCAGCCCAGGCCGCCCAAGTGAGAGACACAGCCACTGGTTACCTAGTCTACTGCATGGGGATGGGGATGGGGGTGGGGGGTTGCAAAATGAGGGAGGCCAGTGAAGGCGGTGAGTTTGACGGGAAGTAAATCCGTGAACACTGTCCAGATAGACCCTCCAAGCCATAGTCCTGATAAGTGATGGTGCAGTGTTTATCAATCAGCTCTGTGGAGCTCTGACACAGGTCCACAGATGACCTTGGGGGGGGGGGGGGGGCAGAGCATCTTGTTCACATAACATCCAGGAGAATTTGAGATAGTCAACCTTCCAAGGCCGACACTGGGGAGCCAGATTCAGATAACAGTTGTTCTATTTCATATAGGCTTCGCCCTTTAAGGCTGTCGCTGATGGGTTTATCCCGTTATGCAGAGCATAAGCACTGAAAAAATTTAGTCCACGCCCACCTGCTGTGTGGGCCCCACCCGGTCCGTATAAATTACGTGAAGAGCGGGAAATCGGCTCCCATTTTTTCTTCAGCGAGCTAATATAGCACTGTCAGAAGAACAAAGAAGATAAATTGTGTAAATGACCAACCTTTGTGAAGGATGCTTGGCCCGGCAGTCGACCTCCGGTCGTCCGGTGAGTTCTCCTCCCCGAGGAGAAGATGACAGCAGTCTTATTCCAAGGTAAGCGTCGGGGAACATTTCCCAGTGACAGGTCACTACACGCTGGACAACGCCATCTTGTGTTTTTTCCTCTTATCGCCGACCCTCGGGGCGAACCGGATGGTTCCTCCGGGGCAAGGCGTGCTCAGCTGCAGCCCCCGCTGCTCATTCCCTCCTGGGGAGCGTAGTGTAGGTGGAGGGGGGCTGAGTGAATGCTCACCCCACCCCACCTCGTTTAGCATCGGCGACCACACCGCTCCCGGCCGACAGCGCCCTCAGGGGTTGCCCGGCGGAACCCAGGAGGAGGCTGACATAAGGGACCCCTTTTTTCTACGTCCCTCGCCTTTTTCCCGCCAGTTCGGATGATCGGCGGAAAGGCTGTTTTTCACTGGGCTCCACTGTGGCTCACCGTCTTGATCCATACGGCCTCACGTTCCAACAGGACGTTCGACGGGCGAGGCCGCAGACGGTTCTTTCCTGGTAGATTAGAGGAGTCGGTCCCCAGTCCGCTCCCATCACCAGAGTTGAGGGATTCACCGAGCGGGGCTATTCCTCGGTAACCCCCCCCTGGAGCCAAGCCTCGCAGAAGCTTCCGGAGCGAAGCTGCCCAGGTCGGAGCAGCGTCCCGTCCCTCCGGAGGAACCAGACGGCGACCACGCTCTCCAATCGAGCCCACCGACGTGTTTTCAGGCAGCCGCAGCTAGCAACAACGTGCGCTGCTAGCATATAGCATGTCCAAGGGATTGAAGGCCGCAGACCTGCCTTGGAAACGAAGAACTCCCTCTGTAAGGCAGCTGACGCCAGCTCAACATGTGTGCCTCTCCCACGGTTTGCCTGTCGAGGACTGTAGCGCGGATGACGATGATCCAACGATCCACCTGGCTTCGTTACTCCCCTCGCTGCCGGAGAATCTGCACAAGACCTGATGAAGCCATCGCGGACGCGCTGTTCAGAGCAGCTTCAAACCATGCTGGGGAAGTGAAACAGTCGGAGGAGGTGCCAGAGGCTGTGCGCCACCTCATCAAGCCGCGCGGCCCACCCCGTCCCCGCTGGAGGGACCGTCGCGAGCAAGCTTCGACTTTTCCACGGCCGCGGCTCTCGCTGAGTTCCACCACCAGCCCCGCCCGTCAGAATCCAGCCCTCTTCACTCCGGCAGCCTGCAGCTCAGCGTTTCCCCAGAGTTCGCCTGCAAGACAGCGCTCTGGGCAAACAATCGCAGAGTTCATGAGAGAGAAAGCTCTCAAAATGACGGTCTCCGGAGGGTGTGTGTAAAAGTGACACGAAAGTTGAAATAAATCATCATTAATGATCAAAGTGTCTGTTTTTTAGCCAGTCTGTAAGCCCGGATGAGCTCACAGCGGCCGCACACATAAGAGCCGGTGTCCTTTATAAGGCTTTTTAAACTCACCGCCGCTCCAAGACATTACTAGTCGCTTACAGGGCACGATGGTAAGTGAAAATAACTCGTTATAATCCCGGGCTGCACGTTTTTCACCCAAGCGATGTCAACTCGCACTCGTGGGATGAAACAGCCCCACACACGAGCCGGTGTCCTTAAATAAAGGGTTTTAAACTCACCGTCGCTCTAAGACATGACGAGTCGATCACAGAACAGCCTCCACACATGAGCCGGTGTCCTTAATTAAAGGTTTTTAAACTCACTGTCGCTCTAGACATGACGAGTCGATCACGGCACAACGGTAAACGAAAATAACTCATTACCAACTAGAACTGCACGATCCTCACTCAAGCGGTGTCAACTCGCACTCGTGGGATGGAACAGCCTCCACATGAGCCGGTGTCCTTAAACAGGGTTTTAACTCACCGCCGCTCTTGACATGACGAGTCGATCACTAAGATGAACAGCCTCCATCCAACGGCGCTGCGTTGATGCTGGCGCACACACACAGCTGCCGGCGCTAACCAGCTCACATCGGTATAAATGTGGTCCGCAGGCTGGTTCGGGTGGGGGCCCTTCTCTCTCACAAGAAACGACACCCGTCTCGACGAATCAACGCGGGCAGCCGTCACCACCGCGTCTCAGCTTTCGGCAGCTCACCGCAGCTAAACGTGAAGCAGCTGAAGAACCCGGTAATGAGTCCCGCCTCCCTCTAGCGCGCGCCCCTCCAGCGAGAGCGGCGCGCGTCCCTCCAGAGAACAACGGGTGCTCCCGCGGGGCTAGCAGCCTTCTCTCCAACAGCACGGCGTAAACGAAGTCACGCCCTCCGCCTTTTCAACGTTCGCACAGCGACGTCAAACGCGCAGCCCCACCGCGTCATCAGCTGTCACACGCTTCGCCTCAGCACAAGTCTCGCCCGGGATCACACAGAAAACATTCCCGCGACGCATGACGGCGGTTGAGGGGCGGACGGCTGACAGCCGTACAAAACATGACACATCACTTAACGCACGTTCACCCTACGAACGTTACGTAGAGTGGCTAAAACATGCTCGCCATTTTTCAGATGGATGGACAAGGTTTTATGCAAATGGTACAAGTTACAGTTTGCAACCCGAACCCCTCCATTCAGAGGAGTTATAAAAAACGGCCCCGTCATCATCAGACTAAATCTCATCCCTAAATGCAGAAATCCAAGTGTTTTCTGATAAAAGTAATCTACAGAGTTCCCCAAGGGAGAGAAAACACAAGGTTTTTACTCACGGATCGGAGGGGTGAGACCGTTCTTGGATCTGTTGTTTAACATCCAGAGAACGCATACCGATCATCCTAACACAGAGACGAGAGTTTTTGTTTTACCTGGATGATCTGCTGCTCCTGTCAATTCAGACAGGAGGCGCTGATGCAGGATCAGGTGTTGACATCACACCTGTTAAATCTGGGCTTCGCCATAAATTGGAAGGAAGCTCGATTTTTCCGGCCCAGACATTTGTTTCTGGGAGTGGAATTAAATTCAACCACCATGAAAACTCTTTTATCACAAACTAGATTCGACACTTTTTAAAAAGTCAACTCAGCCACGTAAGACCTGGCAAGTTATAACAGCTGTCTCCGTCATGAAGCTGTTGGAAATGATGACACTCACACAGTGTTTTCCACTGGTTTGTTTCACATGAGACGCCTCCAGAGGTGTTTTGCACGTCTGCATGTGGATCCAGTAAAACAAACGACGGATGATTATTGTCCCTTCCTCTGTGGAAGCAGACCTCCGACTCTGGGGAAACACCTTGTTTTCTGTCAGAGGGAGTCCCCCTCAGCAGACCCACGTCACGGGTCAGTCTTCACGGACACGTTGCTGTCGGGGGGGGGGGGGGGGGGGGGGACATGCCTATCTCAAGCAGTAGGGGCGCTGTGGCCCCACTACACATCAGCCCACATCAATGTTTTGGAGTGTCGCACAGTACTGAATGTGATTCAACACTTTGCTCCCGTGCTACAGAATCAACACGTGTTGATTCACACAGACAACATGATGACTGCTGCGTACATAACCATCAAGGGTGTGCGTTCAGCCCAGATGTTACACATTGTGCGAAAGCTACTGTGTTGGGTTAATCAAAACCTGCTCTTTATTAGAGCGGTTTACATATCCGGTGTTCTGAACAGAGGGGCAGATGTGACGTCCAGGGGCGGCCCACGTCACGTGGACCGGACCCTCCATCCAGACCTGATGTTTTTCAGACGCAGCAGAAGTTGGCAAAACAGCTGTGGACCTGTTTGCGACGCGAGAAGAACGCTCAGTGTCAACTATGGTTTTCCCTGAGCCCGCGAGACGACCCATCGCTGGGGGGGGACGCATTTGCTCACAGCCGGTGGCCCAAAACGCTTTTATACGCGTTTCTTTTCCCCCACCTCCTCTGTTTTTTACGGTTCCTGAACCGAGTTCAGGAGGAGGGATTGACAGCTCTCCTGGTGGCTCCCGGCGTGTGAACGCACCATGGTTCCCAGGCCTGCAACGTCTGTTGTCGGGTCGCCGTGGAACTGTCGTGGAGGGAGGATGCTCTCCTTCAGGCAGGAGGAGCGACCAAGAGTTACCCAGAAATAGGTCAACACCTGTGGGTCTGACCGCTGAGCGGTCCCACTTAGAGGATGGGTCTCCCTCAGGAGATAGTGTGCACAATTCAAGATTCACGTGCTGCATCTACCACAGTTCTGTACACATCAAAGGGGACGGCTTTTCAGCGCTGGTGTACAGAGAAGGTTTAGAGGCCACCTCATGCCTTTTAGGCGGCGTGTTGTTTTTCTACAACAGCTGATGGATAGGGAGTTGGTTTTCAGTACGCTTTAACGTACGTTGCAGTCATCTATTCCTGCCACGAAGTTTTTGGAGACAGAACAGCTTTTAATCACCCGCTGATGAAGCGTTTTTCTAAAAGATGTTCAGAGACACAGGCCTGCTTCACGTCCACTTGCTCCACAGTGGGATTTAACGCTGGTCCTGCGAGCCCTGATCAAAGCTCCAATTGAGCCTCTGGATCAGGTTTCATTTAAATTCTTGTCTCTTTAAACAACCCTGCTGCTGGTTTTAACACCCGCTAAGAGGATAAGTAATTATCTGCCCTCTCTGTTGCTTCGTCATGCCTTAGAATTTAGGCTGACGGGCAGCTCAGCTGATTTAAGACCAACCCAGCTTTTATGCCTAAAACATCACGAGCTCTTTTAAATCAAGAGTGATATCGTTGGAGGGGTCTTTTCCCCCCCACAGATCAGAAGAGGAAGCATCTTTTCATCTTCTCTGCCCGGTGCGGGCGTTGACGTGTTACATAACGCGCACAGCTGCAATGCGTTTCAAACTCAACAATTGTTTGTGCATTATAGAGATGCTTCTGCAGGTCGCCGTTATCCATCCAGCGCTTGTCACACTGGCTGTGTGAGGCCTTTTCTGAAGCCTACAGAGCATCAGATTTAGGGCCTCCTGTCAACCTCTAAGCACACTCCACCAGGGGTATCGCATCTTCGACTGCTCTGCATAATGGTATGTCAATGCAGGACATTTGCACTGCGGCTGCATGGTCAACACCCTGCTCATTTATTCGCTTTTACCTACGTGATGTAACGGCTCGTTCCATGACACATTCTGTCCTTAGTGCTCTAACAGAATGAATATTATTGTTCTCATGGAACTCTGTTTAAGCTCACTTCTGTCTGCATGCATTACAGTGTGAGATGTTGTTATCAGTCACAAGTCGTGTCTGTGATTTTGGTTTTATTGTCACTAATCAGTTCATGACTATTGTTACCAATCAGTTCATTTGATCAATAATCAATTCATGGACATTAATCTGTTTATACTGTTCAGCCATGAACCAGTTGGTTCATGCCCCCCCCCCCCTCTTTTCAACTTCTTCTTCCCGTTGAAAGTTTTCCGGGGCATTCATGCTTGTCAGAACGCATAGTTACTCAACATGCGTCTGTGCATGGCACATAATTACGCGATGCGTAGTTATGCACACGGGGAGCTGAGTGACAAGACGTTTTTTGGGCAAGCTTCCGCTTCTTACTGTGTTCGAATGGACCCAGTGAGGCGAGGACCACATCCGCTTCGCCCTTAACCCATCAGCGACAGCCTTAAAGGGCGAAGCCTATATGAAATAGAACGTTGGTTACGTACTGTAACCCCAGATTCTATGAATATAGGCGTAGCCCTTTAAGCGTCGGGCCTCACTGGCTCCTAAATGGCTGAAGAAAAAAGCTATTTTGGGAGCCGATTTCCCGCTCTTAACGTAATTTATACGGACCGGGTGGGGCCCACACAGCAGGTGGGCGTGGACTAAATTTTTTCAGTGCTTATGCTCTGCATAACGGGATAAACCCATCAGCGACAGCCTTAAAGGGCTACGCCTATATTCATAGAATCTGGGGTTACAGTACGTAACCAACGTTTTGAGTCAGGCCAACTCTGTTCATTTCCATCTGCCTTTACAGTCTCACAAGCACACCTCGATGGTGACTCCACACAGCCAAATTTGTGGTTAATTACACGTAGCCGAGCTTACAATTTCTCTGAGATCTATTCTTTCCCACCAGTGAGATTCAGGGGCTGCAAGTAGCCTGCAGTTCTCAGCAAGAATCGCATCCAGCTTACGGCTCAGCTCATACAGCATTTGAGTCTGAGTGTTGACAGCACGGCACATTCCTTCATACAGACCGGGCAGCCTCACAATAGCCAGAACAGCTGCCAAAGCGTCATTTCATGCCAATTTACAACAAAGTTGTCTCAGGGCACTTTACAGAAACATTCACATACATAGAAAAGCCAATTAGTAAAGTTCTCTATCTAAGGAAGCAGCAGACAAGTTGAATGTTCACTTCATCGCAGTCTCCTATCCTGACCAACTGAGTACCAACTGAGTACCAACTTTCCATAATTCATAATTAAACCTTAGATTCACCAATCCATATAATGTTATTTTCCACCATTTACCATCCAAGGTTATTTTATTCCCAACAATATATAGAACATTCTAAAGGCTTCACAAACGTTCAACCACCACTGTATGTGGTGCATTTTTGTTCTATTGTTTCGTTAGATCCTTGTGTTTCCTGCACTCCTGTATTTTCTTCCTTGTTGTCAGCTCTTGTCTCACATGTCTCTAATGCTAATCACGCCAGGTGTTGGTCATATTGTCTTTATAATCTCCCTTTAAAGTTAATATATCTGTGTTTCATCCTTGTCCATGTATTGTGCTTCCCATGGCCTGTCATGTTTTTGTTCCTCCATTGTTCCATTGTTCCATCGTTCCACGTAAGTTTTGCTGCCCTGTCAGCTTTAGTTTTGTTTAATAAATAGAAATTATTTATTTTACCTTTGAGTCTCCCATGTTTGCCTGCACTGGGATGTTACACAACACAGAACATGTCAATATATTGCTGTAAGTAGGTAGGAGTTACACTGTGTAGGCACAATGGCAGAGCCAGAGGGTGACCAGTGATGGCCTTAGCCACCAAAGGTCAATGTTCGGTCACCCCAATCATTTGAAGGAACTATCCTTTCTAGGTTCCTAATGCTTAAATGTAGTTTCCTCAAACTCAGTTTTTAAAAGGAACATTTTTACGCCTAGATGTTTCCACACACCGAAATGGAAGTCAGTACTTTACTTGTTGTTTAAGCTATCCAGCTCACAATATACATGTATGGTGGCAGCTATGTTGGATTTTGACATAGCAACTCAATATTTTTAAGGAAAATATCTTACACCTATATGTTGCCACATCAAAATGGAGGTTGGCGCCTAATTTATTTTTCAAGTTATGGTCACAACATTTAAGCATGAAGGGAGGTTATTTCCGATCCTCCCTTTTCGCTCCACGATAGGGAGGAAAGTGGAGTGAAAGTTTCTGGTTGGATTCAGATCCTGCTGCTCAGAGGTTGAGTAATGATGTGTTTGTGCTTGTGTCACCAGTCGAAATGAAATACGATCTCACCACTAAGGAGAGGGAGAAAGCTAAAAAGATTCTTGTTAGGATTATGTCCCTGATTTAAACTATACAGGGATTACATGATTTACCTGATATCTGTGTGTGAGAGTCTACCAACTGAAACACCTGCACACAAACATGCTCACTAATTCTCGTGATTATTCTCTGTTAGGGCTGCCACGTAAACCTTTGAAGAATCAGAAACATGCGGCAGTGAAAGAACTCCCCGGCGTGATAAAAAGGAAGTGAGCAGTCGATAATCTGTCACAGCCCAACAGGACAGTGAACCTGCTGCCAGACAACATGAGAGCTCTCGTCCTGCTTGTGTGTTTGGCAGTGGGCTGCTTGGCTCAAAGACCTCATCCATGCTGTAAGTACACACACATTAAAGACATTTATCGTGTAGGTTTTCTTCTGAAGCATCACAGAAATACCAAAGCTCTGTTTATATAAACTCATTCATCCCGACAGCCTCCCCGCCTCTGATGACTGGTGCTCTCACTGTGGTAAGGTTCAGCTCATTTCAGAGCTTTTAAATGTTGTGTTATGAAGTAAAATAAACTTAAGGAAAACCTACATGTTTATGTTTTAAGGCCTCCCAAAGTGGGAAGCTGTCGGCATACGCCAAGTACACCTATGATGCACTGGGAGAGCGCATTCGCCTACGAGAGGTTGGAAAGTACAACAATAAAACCTTCCACTTTGACGCCCTCCTGCTCTACAGACATGTAATTTCAGCAAAGAAGTGACTTTTAAGTTAAAGGTATTTGTGCTACTGCTGATCCTAACTTTGTCGTTCATCACAGGGCATCATGTACAATTTGAACTACAGGAACCACTCGTGCAGCAAAAAACATCTGGATACACACTTCCATCCTCTGAGGATCCCAAGGAACTCAACTTTTCTAGGTCAAGCTGTAGTGGGAAGCTCCTCTGGCCCTGGACAGGGGGTCTTGGTCAACACTTGGGCTGGAGAGCTGCACATGAGGAACAGAACAGGTATGGGAGAAGGAAGTGAAAGAATAAAAATAATCAAATCACGTGGTGTGATGTCGAACATGACTTTGCTTGATTGTTACACAATAGCTGCACTTGTGGAGCAAGTTTGACCAGCTGTGAAGTCCTCTGACATGTGATCTGCTTCTGTTTTTTCAGCAAAGTACTTGAGCACCGTCACTGAGTTTGGCTGTATCCCCATCAGCTCACTGTTTTATACCCCAAAGAGTGACTGGGTGGTGACCAGGTCAGTCATGCCTTTTAGAATACACCATTACACTGTACATGTTCAATCAAGGTTCTTTATTGTCATTCGCATCACATGTTGTATATGAGATGGAACGAAATTGTGTACTCAACATCCAAAAATAGCACAAACATAATGTATAAAAAGAAACAATACATAAGGACCTAAGATGTACATTGATAAACTCTAAATGAAGGCCAAACATCTAAGATGTACACTAAACACTAATAATGTAAATAATTAAAACAGCAGTCTGAACATGAATACAGCAACGTAAAGGCAAGAGATCAGCAGCACGGATGATCAGAGGTCTGCAGCATAGATAATCAGCAGCACAGATAAGTCACATATCACCAGTTAAAGTGGTATTACAGTGATTTTTTTACAATGATTTTCTTTGTTAGAGATTCATGAGTCTAACAGCTTCAGGGTAGAAGCTGTTCCTCAGACTAGTGGTTCTACACTTAATGCTCCATAGCCTCCTTCCTGAGGGGAGCGGGGCAAAAAGTGTGTGTGCTGGGTGAGTGGAGTCCTTCATGATGCAGGTGGCCCTCTTTCTGCAACTGGAGGTGTAGATGTCTGTGATAGTGGGGAGACCGACTCCAATAGACTTCTCTGCAGCATTGAGCAACTATCGGGGTGAGGACTACTAGCCGATAGTCATTCAGACCAGTCACTGCAGAGCTCTTAGAAACTGGGATGATAGTGGCAGTCTTTAGGCAGGTGGGAACTGTTGTCAGGGTGAGGGAGGAGTTAAAGATATCAGCTAGCACTTCACAGAGCTGATCGGCACAGTCTCTTAGCACCCTCCCTGGGATTTTGTCTGGGCCAGTGGCTTTTGAGGATTAATCCTCCTGAAGGTACTCCTTTCTTCGCCTGAGGTCATGCTGAGGGACTCTTATTTCGGTAGTGAGGTGAGTCTGGTGCTGGGTGGTCTATTTGGGTCTTCAAAGCAGACATAGAACCCGTTAAGAGCATCAGGCAGTGATGGGTCCCTAGGGCATTCTGCATCTCTGCTTTTATAGTCTGTGATGCATTTAACGCCCTTCCGCATGCTCTGTGTGTCCTGTGAGGAGAAATGCCCTTGGATCTTCTGTGTGTATCTGGCTTTGGCCCTTTTAATACCAGCAGCCAGCTCTTTCCTTGCCCTCCCCAATTCCCGTGAGTCATCAGACCTGAAGGCAGTGTACCTGGCTTTCAGCAGGGTACAGACCTCTACGTTCAGCCAGGGTTTCTGGTTCGGGTAGCACTTCACAGTCCTGGTGGTTGTGACATCTTGAGCACACATGCTGATGTATCCAAGGACAGTAGATGTGTATTCCTCTAGATCCAGTTCTTCCTCATTTACAGCAGCCTCCATGAAAATCTGCCGGTCTGTACATGCAAAACAGTCCTGTAGTACAGAGTCACTGTCACTGGGCCACACGATGATGGTCCTCTGTGTGTGTCTGGAATGTCTCAGTGGGGGGAGGTAGACAGGGGCCATAAAGATTGAGATGTGGTCAGAGAGGCCGAGGTGGGGACGGGGTATGGCTTTATTTGCGTGGCGTATGTTGGTATAAACACAGTCTAGTGTGTTGTTTCCCTGTGTTGGCATGGTGACATGCTGATAAAATCTTGGCAGAGTGTCTTTCAGGTTTACATGATTAAAATCACCAGCCACCACGTAAAAACCTGCCGGATGCTTGTTTTGAAGCGAGCTGATGTTATTATGCAGTTCCCGCATAGCGTCTTTAACATTAGCATCCAGAGCTATATAGACAACAATGATATACACCGCCATCAAGTCCAAAGGTAAATAATGTGGTCAACATTTCACAGTCAGTTGTTCTAAAGCCTCGGAGCATGAGTTCTTTATCAGGACACAGTTTGTGGACCAACCTTTGTTTACATAGATGCATAGACCACCACCCCGTGTCTTCCCCAATAGCTCGCTGCAGCGATCCGCCCGAAAAAAAAAATTCTGTCATCCAGCTGGAACGCTGATTCTGACATGTTGCTATTAAGCCATGTTTCCATGAGACAGAGTACAACACAGTTCCTCATCTCATCTAAGGCACTCGCTCTCAGTCGCAGCAGATCCAGCTTGTTCTCATAGGAATGGACATTGGCCAGGAAAAGAGATGAGATTGGCGTTCTGTTAGAATTAGTCTTCAGTCTTGCTTGCACGCCAGCCCATCTCCCCCTCTTTTCCCCCCAAGCGCAGCACTTCCTTCTCCCCTTGGAGCAATACTGTCTCCACACTGATGTCTCTAGAAGTTGCAATCTGCCAAGCATAGTTTTTAGATTGTTATCAATTGCTGCTGTATACGAAATTAAACCTTCTCTTATTCCAATAAGTTCGGTTCAACTATAATTCACATGCTTAGAGTGAATGAAGTCGAGCTCGGACCCAATTTCAAAACAGAGAATAACTGGGTTTTCACCAGTAGACTGAGAAGCTGCAGCCTGGCTGAGTGCAGCCATCTTGGCCATCATTAGTGTACATACAGCACACCATATCCACACCAGTCATCTCAGAGACAGATTGCTAATGTTTTTACTTAGACCGTGTAGGGTTTCTGGGTTTTTGTCCTGTCTATGTCTGTTTCCTCATGTTTCCTGATTCAGCTCTCTGGGTTTTCCCTCCTTGTGTTCAGCCCCTGTCTCACCTGTGTCTCATGTTAATCACCTCAGGTGTCTGTCATTGTCCTAATCAGTGTGTGTATATATTCAGCTCTCTTCTGTCTTGTCTTTGTCTCCGGATTGTCCTTCTATGGTGTTGTGTTCATTCCGTTCCGTCCGCCCGATTAATCTGTGAGTAGCTGCCCTGCCAGCGTTTCGATTTTGTTTTGTTTAATAAATATTGCTTATTATTCCTCGAGCGTCCTCGTCATCCTCCTGCACGTGGGTTCAAACACACCTGACGGCCGAACGTGACAGACCGAGTGGCATGGCTTAACATAATATGTTTTTGTTTTGTTGTCTCTGAAAACAGTACTGATGGAATAAACAGGGGTTATAGTCATGAAAACAATGGTGTCTTTCCAATCCAAAACTAAAAATGGATCTAGTTTATATACTAGGTCCTCCTTTTGAAAAACTTCTGACATGTTAAATTCTTAGATGAATTGTGAAACAGGAACTAATTCCAAATGCAGAAGAAGAGTGTTAAAAACTACATTTGTGCTACAGTTCAGCAGTTTGGAGAACCACTAACCCTTAGTTATGCTGCTATAGGCTTAGACTGCTGGAGGACAAACTGATCACATTTCCTCACTCTGCTGCTGTCTTTACTTACTCTACTCTACCTGTTTGTATTTGTAATTATTTCTATCCTTAACATGTGTTTTGTGTCTTTCTTCCAATTGGGGGTACACCTGGAATTGCCATTCTGTGTTCATTTGGGGAGTGGTGGCGCAGAGGTTAGAAGATGGGCTTGTGATCGGAAAGTCGCAGGTTCACCTCCCAGTACCGTCAACATCAAAATGTGGGTGGAAAAGGTGAAACACACACACCTGCCTCCACCCTCATTTGCCCCACTCTGGGCCCCTGAGCAAGGCCCTTAACCCCCACCATCTGCTCCCTAAATAGGTCTCTCTTGAAAATGAGTTCTTGTGGCTCAATGAGACTACCTGGATAAATAAAGGGTAAATGGAAAAAAAAAAATAATAAATTTGTTTCTTCTTCCTGTCCTTTCAAACTCCAGGAGGTCGAAACAGATGGCCGCTCGTCTTGAGCCTGGTTCTGCAAAGAATTAGGGATAGCTCAAGAAACCTAAGCCAAACCTAACTACAGGATTTATCCAAAAGGAAAGTCTTAAGCCTAATCTTAAAGCCCCCAGTATACTCCCGCATACGTCCATACGCAGAGGTATGCACGTACGTATGCGGAGGTACGAGCGTACCCCCCAGGGCATGTCCGTGCAAAGCTCAATTTTTACGACCGCGTACGTGTACGTGGTGTCGCACAATAAACTGCCCAGCGACGGACTGTTTTGTATGAGACACCAATGTATTAAATTCCCCTTCTTCATCCCTGATCTGGCCTTTTCTTTTGTTTTCTTGCCAAGAGGCAAGTGATCTTTTCCTCCTCTGTTGACTCCATGACTGAAATGGTGAGAAATGAAATAATTTGTCACGAGCGAATTAAACTCAGGTCCAGCGTGGCTGCGGGAGGGTCTGGAGATTTCCTGATGGCTGGTCTGATGTGTGGGCTGCAGAGCCAGCACTCCCTGTTTTTTAAAAATTTTTTTAGATCTTTTTATTAACAACATATAAACACAGAACACCACTGCAGCTGCGGCTGCGGCTGCTAGCACTCGTTGTTTTTCCCCGACCTGTCAATCAATCCAGTAGGCGTGTCAGCAAATGACCAATCAGCGACCTCAATTTGTCCCAAAGGTAAACGCCCCTTGTCTATGAAGCTGCTCTGCAGCTGCTCGGGTTGTAAGCTGGAGTATGAAGTCTGAACCCTCTGCGTACAGTACACGCGTACGTATGCGTGAACGGACGGATGGAGCTGTAAGCTTTTTTTCTTGCTACTCTACGGTGAAACCAGAAGTGTTCCCCCACCCACCCACCCCACCCGCTTCCCTGCTGTGCTCTTTTGTCCTGTGAACCCTTAAAAAAGCCTCTCTTTTTTTCCCCTGCTTACTCTTATTTGGAAGGATCAGCTGGTCTCTCAACAAAATCGATCAACTTCTCCCCACAGGAGTCAGGGAAAGGAGGACCCCTCTGACCTCTTTAAGGAACAAATTGGATTCATGATGACAACTAGATTCTACTGTTTGGGTTGGTGAAATCTGGTTGTCTACAAATCCGTGTGGAGGTGTTGAAGCTTGACAGTGCTCGGACTGAATGTGGAGCTGTGACAGGGAATTGGAGCAGCTGTATCAGGACTGTGTTCTCCCTGGCAGCACTCATGAATGGTGGAATAATCTTGGAGAAAGCTGTGAGCTCGACTTTTGGAGTAAAGGATCAATTCCGCTGTTTTGGAGTTTCCATCAGAGAATATGTACCAGCAAGACTTTAAAGGCAGAAACAACAATTCACGAGTTCTGCCTGACCCAAACTGTGGCCTTGATGCCGGACTTATCTCAACTCCTCCTGGAATGTTTGGAAAACAACAAAGATGCTTTGACTGTTTCCTCACCCCTCCCTTCCCCAAGGCCGTGGACATGTGACAGAACCTCAACTGAGCTGAAGATGAATGTCACCTCTTATCTGGACAATGGCTGAGGGGGGGCTCTGGACTATGCTACGACTTTCCCTTAAAAATTCAATGTTTTCACCTCCTATATGTAAATGTATAATGTCTGTTTATGTTGCTTTGCTGTGGTAGGTTTTTTGATGCCTCAAATTGTGCCCTGTCTAGGACACGGTGTGAGAAATCTTTTTTTTATACCGTCTCTCCTCATGTTTTCTTTCCTTTTCTTATCTAAGCAAAATATTATTCTGAATAAGAATAAGAAGGCCGCGCTGATTATTTTAGCCGCAGCTTCGTGCACTCCGCCCATCTTCGGATGACTGTACGTACATATTTGCGTTGTATCTCGGTGCAATGCCAATAAAGTTTATTCTGATTCTGATTCTGAGTATGAAGTCTGAACCCTCTGCATACAGTACACATGTACGTAGGCGTGAACGGGCGTACGCAGGAGCATACTGGGGGATACTGCCACATACGTCCGTTCACGGGTACGTACGCGTGTACTGTACGCAGAGGGTTCAGACTTCATACTCCAGCCTACACCCCGAGCAGCTGCAGAGCAGCTTCATAGACAAGGGGCGTTTACCTTCGGGACAAATTGAGGTCGCCGATTGGTCATTTGCTGACAC